GTTTTTCTCCTAAAAACCATAAATGACATTCCATTTTGAATTATGAGCCATGCCCTAGGAGTTTTTTCACTGTCTGCTCTTATTGCTCAGTTACACTGCTCTTTCGTGTTTACGACATCACCACATGTGAGTGTATTACTTGAAACAAGCGAGTAGTCGCCTACAATTGTATCAACGACTTCTTTGAAATTAGTACATGCATGTACTTCGATCTCGCCCAGGATTCACCAACCCTGGCTTGTTTCGTCTCGCGAGTTGTAGACACTTCCACTTTACTCAATGAAACACTTATGTTACTCGCTAACTTTAAGTAATCAATGTATTACTGGCAAACTGTGACCGATGAAGGGTAATGACCCAGAAATACGCGTATCTCAGAGTCCTAACTTTTGCCAGTAATGTAATGACCCAGAAATACGCGTATCTCAAAGTCCTAACGTTTGCCAGTAATACATTTTTTACTTCTTTGAAATGTTTGGCTGTGCCGATGCATTTCTTAAGTACCATGTACCAATAGGGATTTCAAAGGCGTTTGCCCATATTTCCTTTAATAAACTTGACTTGACTTGACCACTACGGAAGAAATTTGTTCGAATCGAAAACACAATTCTGTAAACGTTCACTCGAGTGTTAAGTGTAAACAGGGCAGTCGTCATTGACAAAGGAACCATTGTGGTAGTCGGCGACAGGCACGACGCCTCAGGAGAGCCTGCAACGTTGCTTGCATTTGGTCAGGCTAAACTCCTAACAGAAAAAAATGGGCGAGTTCCGGAGGGGAGGTCTGATCGCAGAAACAAAAAGTGTATTCTACTGACGTTTTGGACTCTCCCTTCATCCCATCATGAGAAAGACAGCCGTAGATAAGAATGGTGGATAGTTGCCTCAGGACCACTGCGGAAGATATTTGTTCGAATCGAAAACAATTCTGTAAACGTTCACTCGAGTGTGAAGTGTAAACCTGGCGTGGGGTAGATTACTAGTAGAAACAAACAGACAAGTTCCCGGAAAGCAGTTCAGGAAAGAAGTGATGTGATCGCTGGATCAAGAAGTGCATTGGACTGGCGTTTCGAATGCTCCCTTGATTCCATCATCAGAGGTATTCGTGGTGGTGCAGACAGGGAGTTCAAAGGCGTTTGCCTATATTTCCTTTGATAAACTTGACTTGACTTGACTCCACTTCGTTGAAGTACAAACCACCGCACTTGTTTGTGGGAACTCCTGGTCCATTTTGTGCGCACCGAGTGTGTGCGTGCGTGGAGTGCGTAGTCAGGCTGCGCCCGATTCCAATTCCGGTGTTTTTGGCTGTAGGCTGACCTTGGGGGGTGTTCATTCTACATTTAACAAAGATGAGACTGCTAGCGAACAGAAGACGAATAAAGTCAAGATCTATGTAGGAGGCTTATCCTTTAATTTGGTGGGGCAGTCTGCGGTAGTAGAACGGATTAAGAGAGTGTGTGATAGATTCGGCGCAAGTTTGCTACCACTGTTTACTAATTGACACGCAAGTCCACCCTGTTTTGCGGGTCACATGTTTGAACTCGTCGGAAACAACGGTCGAACTAAACATGAATCGATACTTGGTCTGTGTCGACGGAGGCCTGCAGGTGGTGAGATACTGAGGAACTTTGTTTCCATCAATTGCACACGACTCATCAGATAAACCCCGCCTGTGGATCATGTGCGTATTCGCGGCTGTCTTTCTGGTCGCAGCCTTTGGTATTGGCTATAAGTCTGTTGCAGTTCTGCATCATCCTAGCCGCAGTACAGGGTACGCCCTCTCTGTGTGTCGGTGCTCTACGCAAGCTGTCGATTTTCTCTCAACATACTGTGTCATGTGCCCTCAGGGCATTTCTTTCCCCACGCGCTTGAAGCTATCACGGTGCGCTAAAAGCCGTGGCTTGGAGGGTTGCCAACTAACGGGATAACTTGGACACCGCAGCCAGTACAGTGTGTGTCTTGTTTTGTGGAGTGGCTGATTGCCAGACTGAGAGTAAGCCTGCAAAGGCTCATTTTTAATATAGCCTTTATGGCGCTCCCGCACACGTGGGAGCCTATCTAGCAAGCTGGTGTTGTTGTGGCGCGTGTTCGAGTGTGTTTCGCGCACACCGCCTGCGCCCTCTCCGGTCTTCTCGCCCTTTGTCTCGACTTTGGGTTTAGGCATGGACGTGGTCAGAGAGTGGGGTAGCTCCGGCCAGTCTACGTTCACTATACTTCAGCTGTAGTCACCGCGTCTGCCTTCCGTTTGCTGAAGCTCGTGCTGGACCTCGTCGAGAGCGAC